GATGTGAATAGCGACAATAAATCCGATATTGTTGTTGCAAACCAGGCTTCGAGTACCATCAGTGTTCTTCTCAACACAGGCAGCGGCACCTTTAATGCTCAAACTACTTACTCAGTTGGTACTAACCCATTTTCAGTAGCAGTCGTCGATGTGAATAGCGATAATAAACCTGATATTATTGTTGCAAACTATAATTCGAACAACGTCGGCGTTCTTCTCAACGCAGGCAATGGCACCTTTAATACTCAAACTACTTACCCAGTTGGTACTAACCCATATTCAGTAGCAGTCGTCGATGTGAATAGCGACAGTAAACCTGATATTATTGTTGCAAACCAGGGTTCAGACACCGTCAGTGTTCTCTTGCATTGTTAAGACTGATCGATTACTAACCTTTATTTATTCATTAATATTTTATTACTCTACCAAGTATATTACTCTTATAAAACATTGCACGATTTAAACTAACATTTATCTTCACTCTATATCAAGAATTTTAACAAAACTTTGCGACCAAGGTCGCCACCTCTTCTGCTTTTTTTCTGCCGTTTCTGCTTTTTTCAATTTTTTTCTGCTTTTTAAAATATTATCTGCTTTTCATTTTTAACTCAATTTCAGTTCTAATAAATCATTATTGCACACATATCCGATGAATTATTGGTACTCCACTTGCTGAGGCTGTTCTTTACCGATATATTTTTCTTTCTGAAGTATTTCCTACGAATCATCCAAATCTTTCAATTCATTGTATACAATCGTCTGTCTATTGTACATTGTTAGTTAAGAATATCATAAGTTATAATATTTGTTCTTAGCAGTAAAAAATGACTGATGTTAATGATAGCCATATTGATAATGACGAAGATAGTGAAGCATCGGTAACAATCGAGTCACAAATATCATTCAATGATAGTTTGTAGAAACTGGCTATAAAATCGAAGAAAACTCATTAAAAACTATCTGCAAATCCGCAGAAATTTGTCGTTACATTTAGTGGCGTAACCAGGGGGGGGGTCAGATGGGGCTTAGCCCCATCACCGAGTGTTTAAGCCCCATCACCCGGATTTTGTGGAACTCACGTAAATTTTCGAAGAAAATCGTGAGTGTAAGTTTTAAGTTCAAGTTTTTCAGCTCCCCTACTCCCCTCCCCCAAATTCAATAAAAATACTGAAAAATCATTAAAAATAGCTATAAATTGCTAAAATTTTAATAAAAATACTGAAAAAGCGTTAAAAATAGCTGTAAATTGCGAGATTTTCTATAAAATATAAGCAAAATAGTTAAATACAGCTATAAATTAGTAGAGTTTTAATAAAACTAAGCAAAAATAGTTAAAAATAGCCATAAATTACTACAAATTTAATAAAAAAGATAGCGAAAATGGCTATAAATCGCGGGAATTTTTATGAAAATAATGACAAATCGCTAAAAATAGCTATTTACTGCCGCAAATTTAATATAAATAACCAAAAATTGTCAAAAATAGCTATAAATTAACTAAATTTGAGCAAAAAAAGAAGACAAAGCGCTTAAACATGATTAGATATTTTGATGCGAACATACGTGAGTTCCACATTTTTAGCACTAACGGGGCTACGCTGATAAGCTTTTTTAGTTACTAAACTTGACAATCAAAAAATCCAAAAGACTAGACAGTTTTGGGCAGAGCTGGGCAACTCAGCAGAAAAAAGTGAATTAATTCAATTCAATTCGTGAAAAAAACTTTTGAATTTAATTCAACTCAATTGAGTTGCTCAGCTCTGATAGATATAGGTAAATTCACATGTGATTCATTAACTAGATATGAAAGATGTAGACAGAAATTACAAAAGAAATTGAAACAAGGACTAGATATTTGATTACTTTTATTATTTGAATTTTGTTTTCTGAAAAATAATTTTCGATTTTTTTTGAGTTGATTTCGATTCAATCACTACTCTTTGAAACTTTTTTCAATTTAATTCAATTCAGTCATACTAAATAGTTGTACTCAATTGAATTCAACTAGGTTAATGAATGGAATTTAGTTAAATTGAGTTCGTCATTTTTTGAACTGAGTTGTCCATTTCTGGTTTTGGGGCTGAGCCCCATCACCCTTAAATTTCTGGTTATGCCACTAGTTACATTTCCAACAACTCAAGGGAGGTACTTTTCACCACTAGCACTGCGCTTCAATTCAATATTCAAAATACGAGTTAAAGCTCTTCGAAACGAAAGTTTAACAGCTCAATTAAAGTCCAAATTTCCTAAGAAGAGCTGCGCTCCCCCGGTGATTCCGTCACTTCAAACGAATGAAAAAAATCTGGTAAAAGAGAACTGTTTTGTACATCATTTTCTACAATATTCGTCATAGAAGTGACCAAAAATGAACTCAAACATAAGTATATAATGGTAGAAACGCACGGTAGATAAATTTTAACAAAAGATCAAGTTTTATCTACTCTTTTTATAATAAAAAATGCGGTACAAGATTCGATATTGTTTTTTTCACATTTCAGAATAATTAAAAAGGAAAGAAAAAGCAAAAGTTAAGATCTGTTTTCTTCTAACAAACGTTTTACAGATTGAAGTACAGCTGATGACCGATAATGAATCAATTAGATAAATTAGTGTCACTTGTACTTTGAAACTATATAAATTTAACTCTATTTTACGATAACTGTGACAGCCTAGTAATCGTGGTTTCAATATCGAGATGAAAATATTTATCAAAGATGTTAACAGGTTTTTTTTGTGATCTTTAAAGAGTGTTACTAGATATGATAATCGATTAGGAAATTTCTGAAGTGTTTATTATAGGATTGAATGTACTGTATATGACTACAAAAAGCATCTATTTTATTGTATGTCATTTTTGTAACACGTGTAATTACGAAAAAAACATCAGAATCGTGACTGATGTTTGTCGTCTGACGACACTGTCTTCTTACTGAAATTTTGTTTTTCCTTCTTTAACATGGTATAAAATCAACCTTGTATACTGAGGTTTAATTCATTTCTAACGTTATAAAAATACAATTTCGTATTAATTGTTAAAGTTGAAGATATTACTATTGAATTAATTTCATTTGGTGTTCCACAAAATATTGATTTATTATATTCAGTACGTCATTTTCCAACAACTAATATTGAAAACTATCAACAATACGATGGACGACATAAACGAATACAAAATGAATGATTAAATTTAGTGGAATATGAAGATATAATTAAAATGATTACGGAACAACTATCAAGTTTCATTCATAATCAAAAGAAAAATTCAATAAAACTAGCAGTTGGATGTGAACAAGGTCAACATCGATCAGTCGCTGTCATTGAACGACTGGCTGAATTGTTAAAAGTAAATTACGATGTAGAAGTAAATCATCGAGATTTACAAAGAACAAGATATGATAAGAAGAAACAAAAAGAAAGAACCCAGAATAGAGACAAAAAATATACTAATTATGAGGAAAATAATTAAATGGAGTTTTGATATAGTATTTTAGCTGTAATATTATTATGAGAACTTTTTTTTATGACGATATATAAAAATTTTCTACACATCCAAATTAAAACAAAACTTCAATAGTTCAAATATTTTATTTGTTATAAATGACATATTGATAATTCTAAAAGACGAAGAGTTCATAATGCTCTCATATATTTATTAATTTCCAAAAATCATATGAACAAAATGTATCCTTTTTCTTTATATTTTATTAATTAATCCATAAATCCCGAGTCATAGAGCTTTTCAACTAAGGCTGCAAGACCTTGATTAACACCTTCTTGTGCAAATAAAGGAATATTTTCTAATCGACTATCATGAATTAATTGAAAAATATTTCGAAAATGTGCTAGATCACCTGATGACATAAATGTTTTTTCAGCAAAACTATGAATATTTTTCGACACTAAAAAATTATAACTATCTTTTACTAGCAAAAATAAGAAAGAAATCTTACCAGAAAATACTGATGCTAATGTATCAAACAAAAATATTTTATTTTCATCAATACTTCTCGAAAGGTTTTCGCCAAATAGAAATGTATATGCAGCATAAAGAAATTTTTCAATATTTTTCTTTGCTGGACGTTTAGCTGCAATGCATGTTTCTTCATTTTCATCAAGATTATCAGGACAATCACCTGGATGACCATCACAAATAAATTGGAGAGCAATACATCGTTGACTTTGAGGACATTGAAATGGTTCCGATGGATCAATACATCCTAGATAAAAATAAACAATAGATTCAAGAGGAATATAATAGTGATGATATTTAACCTTTAAATGGAATAACGGGATGTAGAACATAGAATAATGATGATGCAGCAGCACGATTTCTATTTGAACCAATCACTCGTTTATGATCAAACCATCATTTTATTAAATCATCTTTATTATCATTAGAATTCGTTAACCAATGTGATTGAAAACCTTCAGTATATGGTCGAACAAAATGTGCATTAGGAGTTACTTCAACAATAGCTGTTAGGAAGAAGAAGAAGATAAGGATAATAAGTAATGATGAAATAGACTTCGTCATAATCCTTATACTGTTGAATGAGGTTGTCAGTTCTGTTATGGTGAAAGATCAGAAACAGAAAAAAATGTTTGAAGTTAGTAATAAAAACAAAAGGTAAAATTCTTTAGAGACATATGAA